CCAGCTTACACACATCTTTTTATGTATTCAACGATATTTCACTTAATGTGAGTACGTATGACATTTAAACAAACCAATTCACAACTATGGTCCGAAATTTAAGTGAGGCATTCAGAAATAAACAAATGTCCTTTTGTACACATACAATAAGGAAACACCATTAATTGTTTTTAATCGGGAATATGAGATTTTTTGGCAACTCAAGAAACGAAAAAAAACCTCATCGACAGAGATTTTTCTTATAATATTTTGAATACAAAGAATACTATTAATAATCTTAGGTGGATTCATTTATTTTTTAGAGTATAATTTTTCGTGGATTGAGGAAAACTTGCATTTTTGTGGATATTTTATTTCGTGGTTTTGCCAAAGTCTGCATACAAGCTATATATCATTTGTTGTCTTATTGTTAATTACACTACATCTTTTTCTTTGTATACCATACTGTGGATTCATAATTATTCGTTGCAGATTTAAATTCGTGGTTCACCAGAACCAACGGAATCCACGAAATCAGTATCCCAGGAATAATTATGAATCCACAGTATGATATACAAAGAAGAAGATGTAGTGTTATTGACAATAAGTCTACTATCAAGAGAAGCCATTTCTTTGTATTGTGCTACAGTTTTTAGTACAAAAATAAAGGTTACATATTCGAAGAGTAGAATAGATAAAGAATCGATAAAGTTTTTTTTTTATTTCCAACAATTAGGCATATACATGACATGACATACATACAAAATAATTGGAAATATTTGACATTTTCTATAGAATGGATCAAAAGAAAAATTTTAAAATATGAAAATAAATAAATAAATAAATCATAATAATTAACAGATAGTATAGGCGTGGAAAATGAAGAAAAAAGAAAAATAAGGAATTATCCAGTTACATCCTTATCTATATTTTTTTTAATTTTAAATGTAACATATTCATGTTGAATAATATTTAGAAAATCAACTAAACATATTTCTTTCGTAACAGCCAGCAACATAGATCAAGAACATAACATGACAATAATATATTCTCTAAAATAAATTATTGGTTGATAGTTAATATACATATTTCAATATATATAAGTAAAATAACAAAAAAATAGTCATTAGCATTTATTAAATAACAGGTTTTCAAAAACTTTCCAAACATTGTCAAATGCATTTTTTTTTTTTACAACTATCATACTCTCTTATCTATACATATTTTCAACTTTATTTTAAATGCTTGCAATGAGAGATTCTTTTTAAAGCATCTAGAATTATACACATATTGTTTAATATAAAAAAAAATCATGTTGTATGGGTTGTTGGGGAATATCTTGGATGAGTCTCCAAAAAGAAAGTTTAATTTATTCTTTGGGAGACTTATTTCACCGGAAAGAAACCAGTTATCAAAATCCTGCAGAAAATTTTGTACAGTAAAGCAATTCCAAAAGAGATGTTCTGTAGACTCATTTTCTGTTTAACAAAATGTACACAAAGGATCATCAGTGAGTTTTATTTTAACTAGATACTGATTTGTTTCAATAGTGCAATGGTTAATCCTGTATTGTAACCACTGTAATTTACTAGTTTTATATAAAGCAAACTGCAGTCTGAAAATATTTTTCCCGTTCAGATTCTGTTCACCTAAAATTGTAACCCACTTTAACTGTCAAGTAGCAATAACATTATTTCTTGTCAGTACAGTATACATGCTTTTGATCCTTTACAGTGTTTGAAAAATACTTGTAGACATGATGTTTTAAAAGGACAAAATAATTTGTAAGATGCTTTAGTGAAAGATTTTGATGCCTCTTTCACTGCCGAAATGACACTGTTAAATTTTAGAAAAGCCGTGTTAATGTTATAGTTTCGCTTAAATTAGTCAAATAAATAAAAGATTGATTTTGGTCTATTAGATCATTTACAAATCTTATACCACTTCTGAACCATTCTTGATAACATACAGATTTGATAACATACAGATTTATGGCCAATCTTAATGATATTATTAAGCTACAGTGGATTTAATAAAAATGAATTATATTAAGTGAAGTTCAAAATAGAGAATGGAAATGGGGAATGTGTGAAAGAGACAACAACCCGACCAAAGAGCAGAAAACAGCCTAAGGCCACCAATGGGTCTTCAATACAGCGAGAAAATCCCGCACCCAGAAGAGGGCTTCAGCTTGCCCCTAAACAAAATGTGTACTAGTTCAGTGAGAATGGACATCACACTCTTTTTGAATAATCATTTCCCAGGATCTTAGTAAATCTTACCAAAAATAGTTGTTTACTGTCATATAAAGTGTTTAATATAATCAACACAACAACTGAACAACTTTTTCTTATCTAAAATTGACATGAAAATATTTTGCTATTTACTATCTCTCTGCAAAATCTTTCTAATCCATTTTGATTAAAGTGCTGTAATAAACATATTCAAATCAAGCATTGTCAAATCCCCTCCGAATAATATATGATAACAATAACCTTCTTAACTCTATGTATAGGTAAGTTCCATATGTATTTATAAATAAGTTCATTTATTCTCTAAATAATATCATCTGAAGGGTTTGGTAGAGAGATAATGAGATGGTTTACAATAGGGAAGATTAGAGCTTTAATCACAGTTATTCTACCTATTACAGTTAAATTCCTTTTAGACCATTGATTTAAAATATTTTTAATCTGTACAATTCTTTCAGAATAATTTATTTTAACAATTTTTTCAAGATCTAACATCAAAACTGATACCTAGTAATTTAAAAGTAGTTTCACCCCAAGACAGATTTTCTGTCAGGACATAACGTACATGTATCTGTACTGTATTTTCTGCTCCCAAACCAAACATTTTGTGTTTTTGTGAAGTTAATATTCAATCCAGATATTTTTGCAAACCAGTCTAATTCTAATAGTGATTCCTGCAGGATTTTGTTTAGATAAAGAATTTACCTTAAAGCTGTTCTAGAGTAGAACAGTCGGGATGAGTTCAAGGGTAGAACTTTTTAAAATTGTTCTAGGGTAGACCTGTCAGAATCTGTTAGGATAGAATAGTTCTAAATGACATAATTTAGAGCAGCTCTCTGGTCGTGATTTTTTCTTTATGTCAAAATTATAAAAAAAAGGATAAAATATTAAAAACAATCACAGCATTGAAATAATACTTCAGTTCTGTTTTTTCTCTCCATGTTTTTGTTTCATTTACTAGCACTAGGTCGATACCGCTGCTGGTGGACTGTTAGTCCACGAAGGTATTATCAGCTCAGTATTCAGTGCTGACATAATTTATAACATAAACAAATAAGCAGAAGTGCCAATGAGATCATAAACCAAATGACGTAGAAGTTAACAACTACAGGTCACAGGACGGCCTTCAACAATGAGCAAAACCCATACCGCATAATAATCTAATGACCTGATTAATGTACAAAACAAACGAAAAACAAATATGATATACAGCAACAAACGACAACCACTGATTTACAGGCTTCTGACTTGGAACAGGCACATACAGAATGTGGCGAGGTTAAACTTGTTTGTTGACGCCAAACCTTCCCTTTACCTTGGACAGCACAACATAAGAACAAACTATAAAAATCAGTGGAAAATGGCTTAACTCATCAGATCGATAAAAAGCACAAAAATCCTGAACAAAAGCACAAAAAGCAGTTCTTAGAGTACTTGCAGTTACTTCAAGCTTGTTTAAAGACAATAAGCATCTAAGACTAAAATATAAATCAATACACATCCAACTTCCAATGCATTTAGTGTAAAGACGTCATTTTCATTCAGAGAAAAATATGACCTTGTGCAATGCAAAAAGTAAAATAACAAAAATACCGTACTGCAAGGAAAATTCAAAACGCAAAGTCCTTTATCAAATGGCAAATCAAAAGTTCAAACACATCAAACGAATGGAAAACAACTGTCATATTCCTGACTTGGTATAGGCATTTCCTTATGTAGAAAATGGTGGATTAAACCTGGTTTTATAGCTAGTTAAACCTCTCACTTGCATTTCCATTATATTGACAACAGTGAATGAGCAAAACAAACATTCATAATAGGTAAAAATGTGAAAATTGGGGTACAGCAGTCAACTTTGTGTTATAATCTTAATTACTATAAAAACAAAAAAAAACTATGTCAACAAAGCAAAACAAATTGGCATATAGACACTTTATAGACAAAGCACATAAGCAAAACTATGAAAGACAAGAATACAAAACATGACCATAGCACAATTACTCAATGGCGGGATGTATAAATACCGAGCCACGCCAAAAAGATATTACCAAAGATGGACTAAACAGTAAGGGTTAAAAATATACAAAGACAAATAAAAAGATCACTATGACACGTAATTAAGATTATTAACAACGTATCATAGTGTTCTTTTTATTTGTCTTTGTATATTTTTAACCATATTCTATGAATGAATGAATCTATACTTCAAGACCATCATGTATTAATTGTGAAGTTGATACGGAATATTTATCAACAGGTCTTGGCATCTTTCGATGAACTTTTTTTCGTTCGTCAACATAACCCTGGTTCATCAACTTTCTACTCAGACACTGTTGACTCATATATATAAAGAAAGAAGGAGCTTTCAAGTAAAGAAAGACGGAGCTTTCAAGTGGACAACCTTATAGCCAGTCAAGGTCGTTAATAACCCCCATCATCATCAAGTGGACAAATTAGTTTTATGACAGTTCAGTATACTTCGTTATAGGCAGTTACACTTTGTGATAATTTTATTTTGATTACATGTATTTATTTCGTAAATTAGTGAAATTTAATAGTAACATCGATACAATAGTTTAGTCGGGAATAATTGCCTTATCAACATTAAAATAATTCGATGTAAACTGTGATTTATTTGATTTTGTAATAGAACATTTTAGCTATTTTATTTGTTTGTTGGTATTCTGCCATGCCCATAAAGGTTCATGTTACAATATATATAAGTAATTGCAAAACCAACAGTAAATTACTATTTACTTTAATTTTCAGAATAAGGCTATCACAATGGACGGTCCGTACAGTGAAAATGATCGTGAGGTAGATTCTGAAGTAACTTTGAAGTCCCTTCCACAAGGCAAAATATACCATGCATTCATTTCTTATCGAGACGTAGATGAAGACAGGGAATGGGTAAACAACCTGATAGAAAAACTTGAAAATCTTCACCAGCTAAAATGCTGTAATCATGTATATGATTTTCAACCGGGTCGTAAGATTGTTGAAAATATAAAAGATGCTGTTCTCCGATCTGTAAAGACATTGATAATATTGTCAAAAGAATATCATGACAGTCATTGGTGCAACTTTGAAGTAGAATACACTCATCAGATGAGTATGGAAATGAGAGAACAAATATTAATACCAGTTTTAAAAGAAGACTGTGAAATTCCTGAACACTTAAAACCATTCACCTACATAGACGCCAGAGGTCCGATGGGAAGCTGGCTACCAAGACTTGTTACAGCTATTGAATCACCAGGTAGTCATATTATCTGTTCATCAGAAACAATTATTTCCTTGTCGTTTTGCCATCAGTCGATATTTTCCATTCTTAACATCATTTCATTTATTACAATATGGCAAAACAAAACAGACCCCAATCTGGCAATAAACTCATCATAGATATACCAGGACTATAATTTTGTTTGCCAGACGTGTCTTTCGTCTACAAAAGAATCATCAGTGACTCTCGAATCAAAAACGCCAATTTTCATTTGGTTGCTTTCGCATTGACTATGATTTATTATCATGATTTTGACCAATTTTGATGCAATATTAATTAAATCATGCTTATTTATTTTCAAAGTCATCAACATAAGAAACAATGAACAATAGTAGCATCATCTTCCGACGTCAAGTACTCGAACGCATTGTTTTTATTAAAGGGGGGAAAAAAAGTTTTTTTTTTTAAATTAAGCGGGGAATTTGAATATATCTTGCACCATATAACGATCATATATCAGCTTAGTTATCTTCCAAACAAATGCATTATGATTAAAATGAAAAACATGTTATCAAATATTCTTTAGAAAATAAATGTAAAAGATGACCCACTCCTATCAGTACAATATGCGAAAGAACATTTTTCCCCTTTAAGAATAACTTTTGTCAATACAAAAACATATGGAGATGTTTTCCGATCATTTATTTTCATCATGATAAAAGACTGTCGTTTCGTCTTGTTATTATTTTTTACAGTGAACTGTGGGTTGGAATCAAAATATTCACAAGTAGATTTCAGTACACGTAAGTAGTCAGCATTTTTTTGGAACGGAAATCTAATTCGTTATAAACCATTGGTGTTAAAGTTAATGGAGGTGTTAAGTATACATTGGTGGCCTCTGTGGTCGGGGTGTTGTCTATTTGACATATTCCCTGTTTCCACTCTCTATTTTATCAATGAAACCACAATCCAATACCACAATAATTCAGAAATTACTTTTTAGGGTCACCCTTTGATTTTTAATAGTAAAGGCAAATCTATCATAATTGAAGGACCGAATTCAAACAGTTCTTAGTAAGATGTAAATAAATTAAACACCAAAAACCTGCTTTCAACAATAATACCATTTTCGTATTTCATTATCAATTGTTAATCTATTCGTTTGATTTTTAGTTTCTATGTTGGTGTTTAGTCAATAGATATTGACATATTAATTGAAAATATTTGGTAAAGATCTAAAAATCTTAACACATTGCACACATGCGACTTTTTTTTTAATAGGTTGTTTCAGATTGGGGCGAGAGAAAACTTTATATGAAAGATAATGACTAAACATACAAACACATGCAAACAATTTAATGTTTCTCGTAAACCATTTCAAATTGAGGAAAACATAAAAATTTAACATGAAGCTCGTGAAGAAAGTACTTTTCCAAAAAAAAAAAGACACGCAACCTGTGAAAAAATAAAATCAACTTCAAACCAACAAAATATAAATATAGAAATAAGCGTCACATTAAGTTGAAGTTTGGCATATTTATTATTTAGAATTCATATATATATAATTCATGCAAGAGACGGAACTTATCACATCAAAACGTTCAGATAACGTTACACTAATGTCAATATCTGCTATGCCAACAATTAGCCTGTAACAAAGCCCTGTCCCGTCTAGGCATGGGGAATACGATACAGTTATAGTGGAGAAAATGACGTTGCTAATGTAGAATGTTATTTTCGCGACTTTAAACGGTGATATATTCATGACATTGGGAAAAGATACATTTCTCTACTTGTATTATATGTTAGCTTGAAAACTAGTACAAGGACCCCTCTTTTTAAAATGATATTTAACTTGATTATGAAAGAAAGGTTATTTGTACCAATTTTTATGAACACTTCCAAGATTAATTTATTTTGAATTAGATAACTATGAAGCAAAATTCGGTTTTTTTATTTCTAAAATCATGAAAATTAAATAAAATTGAATTATTTCCTAAGAATTGTTATACACATTTATAGTATAATTATGTTAAGAATATATTCCAAATATTTTTACAAAAATCCGCCGGTATTATTTCTTGATACAAAAAAAAGTTATGTATGTCTGTCCATGTCCAAGAAACCTACATTTTTAGTAAATGTCTAAATTTCGACCACATTTGTCTCTAAAAGTAGCACATGAGGGTATATTTTGTATCACATATTTGAATTTACTAGATGAAACTTTTTATTCCCATTTTAGCATCACATGCCTCTAAACATCGGCTGTCTTGTCCGACGCGCGGTTAATATAACGTTTCAAAGCTTTTACATAGTGATACTTTTATAATTGTCAGTATCGTGTTTATACTTATTTCATACGTAAGACAAAAACAAAAAATAAATTCATAGAACAAATACTTTCGATGTACTATACACCATTGATAGATATAAATGACAGCGGGAATACAAAAACATGTTTGTGAACAAAGGAAAAAAGGAATAAGCAGTGAAATAAATCATTCATTTTCCTTGGCTTAGGGAGATATGAAAATTTGTTAATCACCGAAATTTCCCTCGAGCGATACAATCAGCAAATATGAACTTTCTTTGATTAACAATTCTTCGTATCTCCAAACGGCAGGGGAAATACATGCATATCGTCAAAATTTCCTTCTGGTACGATTCTCAATGCTATGACATCCGTCATATTATAAAGTCCCATGATACCCAGATAATAATGATATTCAGATGTCATGTCATTTCAAAGTCAAATATGCTCTTGTTATTAAAGAGAGATGGTGTTTTCCACTAAAGTTAATGAGTTGTTGTAGGAAATCACTTTGACGTACTTCGAATGATTGAGCGTTAAGGACATTTTTTTTATTTATTTTTAGTACTCTCAAATCTGTCTTTTGTGTTTTTGTTAAGGTTTTCTGTGCTTTGTATCGATCTGATGAGTTAAGTTCTTTTCGACTGATTTTTTGTTCTAATGTTGTACTGTTCAACCACTGTCTTATGTAAGGTGGATGGTTTGGCTCCAGCAAACATGTTTAACCCCGTCACATTCTGTATGTGCCTGTACCAAGTGAGCAGGAGCCTGTTGTGCAGTCGTTTTCGTTTGTTGCTGCATATCGTATTTGTTTTTCGTTTATTGTTTTGTACATAAATCAGACCGTTAGTGTTTTTAATTGAATTGTTCTACATTTGTCATTTCGGGGGCGTTTATAGCTTACTATGCGGTATGGGTTTTGCTCATTGTTGAAGGCCGTGACTAATATATGTTAACTTCTACGACATTTAGTCTCTGGTGGAGAGGTGTGTCATTAGCAATCATACCACATCTTCTTATTTTTTTATTGACTCCATGTTTCTGTCGTCTACAATAAGTGGTATTCTCATCAAAAATGCAATATATAAAAAAAGGAGAAAAACAGATACCTATTAGAGTACAATTCACTGATATGAACAGGTTCTTCAAAAGGACAAGCATTGTATTGAATGTATTTCCCTGTTACACGCATTTTGTTTAATGAGTACTCTTTCTTAACCATGTCCCATTGAATACAAAAAGGAAATGGTTGTTTATTGAATATTGTGTTAATCCAGTTACTTTTTGAGATTTGTCGCTTCCTTGGTATTCTTTTTTAAGTTAAGGAATTGACAGATTGTTGATTCAGTCAAAAATCGTTTTGAGTATAGTTAATGTATAGCTTGACGGATAGTATCGAAACTCGTTATTTATGCGAGAAAGAGCTCTATTTCATTGATATCCAACATTAACGTCTATCCATATAAAGCTCTTCCTGAGCCATTACCTATCTCTTTCCAAAATATATTTATGAAGTTTGGGATGTAATCGGTAAAAATATTGTAATGTAAAACAAAAACATGATGTTGCTGCAACGATTGAAACTGTGCTGTGGTCGGTGGAAGAAATTCTCTTTTGTAGTAGTCTTAAAATCCCTTCTGATTTCGTTCTCGGGGATATCAACTTCGCAGTAGTCAACAGTCGTATTTGTTAACTCGTTCGTACTGTCTTTTACATATATCATATTATTCACTGTGAATTAAATGTACATAGAGTTTTCAATATCAAAACAATGAGATCATTTCTACCCTAACAAAGACCTTTACCTGAGTTGCAACATTTTTGAAATTTCGATGGTCTTCAACTTTGTACTTGTTTTTACTCTTCCAGTTGTTTTGATTCGAGCTAATGAGTCTTTGTAATATGTAGACTTTGTATCTATCGTTCTAAATTAAATACTTGGTATATTTTTTTAAATAATTTGTGTGCCCCGCCTACGATAGAAGGGGTAGTATAATCTTGTTTTTTCTGTGCGTCAGTCCTTCCGGTTTTCATTTCCTTTCGTCATTCATCCGTTTATTAGTTGAATATCAGATTCAATGTAATCAACCATGAAATTGTGGTCCCATCGACCTCACATAGATCACACATGTTCAGCACGATGACAGTTTTTCAAAATATATCGCAAATTAGGGTTTGGGCCAGTTTTCGCGATTCATTGAACATGGAATTATGAAAAAGTATGTTCAGGCCATGGTATGCTATAAATGGATGTTTGCTCTGTTGAAAACAATTGCAGTACCTAGAACAGTCCTATGTTTAAAAGCAAAAATAATTATATATATATTTATTTACATTTCAGATTACAGAAATTTTGACACAGTTCATGAAGAAAGAAGTAAAATTGGGTGTTGTCGAGAATTACCATTCAAATCTAGGCGTTATATTCCTGATTCATTGAACGACAAAGCCTTCAATGTATGTTGTGTTTTTTTTTTAATTTGTCAAAATTTTGTGATTGTTGTTATAATTGCAGTTGGAAATTTTACTTAAAGTAGCAAAAAGTTTACTTAGGGGACGACCATTTGATATTCTGGGGGGGGGGGGGGGCCAGGAGGATTTGTTTTTGATCGGTTATTTATTTTTGTAAACTAAGAGGACAGATTATCTATTTTCTGCACTGTTGAAGCAAGATTTTTCATTTTCATTAAAGCAAGGGACTGCATGATTATTTATTTTCACAACTATATTTATAATATTTGAAAACATACAATTTTTAAATTCATTTTTTATTTTAAATAATACATGAATAGTCCAATCATTATGTACCATTTAATCAGAATTAATCATCATCATCTGTAGAAATGAATCTTTTGAATTCCCAACTGCATATACATGTATTGCATACATACAAGATATTAAAGTTTGGCTGTAATTAGTGTCTTTTAAAAGTATTGCAAATCATTTATGCCGAGCGGAGCGAGGCTAAAAAAAATTTGAAGGGTTTTGGAGCCGCTGAAGGCCCCAAGTTGCTATAGAACTAATGATGCAAAATGTGTTTCCCATACCCTTTCTTAATCTGAAAATGAAAGTTCTGTTTTAATCATTTTTTGACAATATTTTGGTCTCAAAGCAACATGTATAGATTCAGTGTAAGACTTAAATTAAGTTTTAAGGAACAACATCAAAAGACAAAGATAAAGCAAAAATTTAATTCACATAGTTAAGTTTGTGGCTGCTGTTTTTTTTTAAACTCTTGATCAAGTTAATAACAAAATTACTAAATTACAAAAGGAATGCAACACTAACAGAATACAGAAGGGCAATCAATGAACAAAAGACAAATAAATAAGAAACATTGATCCCGTAAAAACAGGAGCTACGTCTGAGGGAGAACAGAACTTGCTTCTTGCAAGACACTTGCCGTGAAAACGATTTGATATGAAGACAAGCTTTTGGTTTTGAAATTTCCTACATGAGGCATTTGCCTGAATGTAGTTACTGCCATATGTAATAAAAGTGAGTTAAGTGTTCCTGAGACAATATACCTCAAGTTAAATGAAACCCATTTTTCAGACATTTCAAGAATTTTAAATAATATTTATACTTTATTATTCAAAGATTTGGGAAGTGATTCCCGATTTTTTTTGAAAAAAAAGTTGAATTTTATGAAGAATCTGGTGCAATCTCATGCTCTCAAATAGACCTGCCGAGTTATTTATTTTTAATACATTGCAAGTCAGGTTATTTATTTTCAAACTACCACAGAACAAACCATTTATTTTTGTGATTATCAAGGCTGAGTTATTTATTTTCAAAATCCTCCTGCCCCCCCCCCCCCCCCCCCAGAATATCAAATGGTCGTCCCCTTACGTCAATTTATTTTTAGAAAGTATATACTGGTTTACCATCTTCTACGTTACTGTACATGTCCGAAATTAAACATCAACATTAAATTCTGTACATTTGCAGGTGTCCCTATTTATCAATCATTAAGATGAAAAATAGAGTTTGTTTGCATTTAATGTTAACATTTCTTGATGGAACTATCGCTTAGATTTTCTCAAAATCTATTAATGATACAGTTCATCATACCTTAAGATGTTTTTTCTACATAGAAATAATGAGGTTTCAAAAGACTGTTAACTCGATTAATTGTTTTGCAACCTTATTTCAAGAACTTTTCATACTTCATTTTCTTTTGACAAACATGACGTTATTTTCTATTTGCGTTATTTGGTTTTTCGCGCATGGCAAATAAAACACTGAAATAACTGTAACCTGTAAGTGTCGTCATTTTCTAAGTATGTTTTAAAATTCATAAATAACTTATCAGGAACAATGTGTTAAACAAAGATCAAAAATCTGAATGAAAATAACATTTTTATAAAACTAAACCATATCAAATGTATTGTAAGGGTTTGTCGTTAGCTTTCTCAACTGTGAATACTTTTTAGAACGGTAATATATTTTATGTTTCCTGCTTTTCATTAATATAAATAAGAAACTTACAAACATCACAAGGAAAAAAATCTTTCTTTTTATGCATCATTCGAATGTACATGTAACGATTATTTCCCCATGGTGTATTTTAATGTCTTTGAAATTGGTGTTTATCGGTATAATTAAAGAAAGAATGATGATCAAATCACGTGTGTTGTCCCTGATAACTTCTTTTGCTCAAGGCGATGTAAGACCCCACCACCAGTGTTTGCACATCTGTTTACAAGAGAAACCATATGGTCTTTGTAGCATTTAAATATCCATTAAAATTTATCCTTACAAAGAGTCTGATTTACTTATAGACAATAGACTGAAACTAAGAAAAGGAATATTCAAGTCTAGACATAATTATTTATTTTTATCCTTGTAATTATAGTTCTCTGTTTTATTAATTACCACATCAGTCATAATGAGTAAATGAGCTACACAATTAGTCATTCAACACAAAACACAGAACGAATTAATGTTCTTATATTGCGTTAGCATGTTTATGTCAAATATTTTGTACATTTTGAAATATTTCATATGGGGGCCTCGGAAGCCGATTGGTCTAAGTAGTCTAACTACTGTATTGCTAGCCTGTCAACACTGAGGTTGTGAGCTCGACTCTTAACTTAATTGACCAGGATTGTCAGTTTTCCTATCTTAGTTCTCTCCGGGCACTCCGGCTTCCTCAACCATTAAATACTGACCGCCACGAAATAGCCAAAAAATGCTGAAAGTGGCGTTAAAAACCAATCAATCAATCAATCAAACATTCCATATATATTGTTACAGGCGGGTGAGTATGGGTCGTGTGTACTGGTATTTCCTGGTTTGGTATAGCCATAGTAAAAAGATCTAAGATGACTGAGATGTACTTATGGCTTTGTGTATTGGTTGGAAGTGGTCCAAACATTATGCCTAGTGCTACTCTTTTCAATGGTTCTCCTGAAATGTATGTATCCAAAGGTGATTTGTTTGATTCTTTCTTTGGTTTCTTTGCAATGCAACTATCGCATCAACAGCAATATGTTTGAACATATTCCTTCATGTTAGGCCAATAGAATCCGTCTTTGAGCTTCTCAAGTGTCTTGTCTACGACTAAATGTGCAGCTGATGGTATATCATGAAAGTAATGCAAGCGATCTTTGTTTTCGGCTCCCAGGGACATTCATTTGTTTTCTGACTTCTTGACCACTGTTTGTCCCAAACCTTCTGTATAAAACTCCTACATACGTTTCTAGTCTGTCCCATTGTCCCCAAAGATTTTCTAATGCTGATGTTCACTAAAAATACATTCCCATGGCGGTTATTGAGGTCCAGCTTCAAGGGCAACAAAGTCTCTTCCTATATGTTCATCTTCCAATTGGTGTTGTCTTATCTCTGATGGTTTTCAACCTCATAAAAGTGCCTCATTGTTTTTCATTTTGTTCTGTCTTTACTTGAGTTCGCTCCTAGTGACAGCTCTAATAATTCCAGGAACTAACCCTTTTTTTATCAGTATCCTGGATATCTGTTTGTTCATCTGCTTCCGTGAGGGGTGTAGCAAGGTAACTTGCTGTTGCCATTTGTTTTTTCAAATTTGATTGCCATTCTACAGGCTGGTAACTTGCCTCCCCAGCATCACAGTTTCAGCTTGATTAAAGTCCTCTTGTCGTTTACATGACTTACATGGGTTTCTTAGCATTGCATCAGCATTTGTATGTTTCCTCCCTACCCTATGAATAACCTTAGAATTATATGTCCCTAATGTCTGAAGCCATCTCGCTAGTAAGATCCTTTAGACTTTGAAGCCAACTGACCGCTGCATTGTCAGTCCTAAGTAAAACTGGTCTACAATAAACATATGGATGAAAATTCTTTAATGCAATGATTACAGCTAGTTTCTCCTTTCGAGTTGTACAGTATGAAATTTCATGCTTATTGAGTGCCTTGCTCATGTATGCAATAACATGCTCATAACCATTGTGTTCCTTGGACAGACCAGTTCCTACGGCGTAAATACTTGCATCTATGTCCAAAATGAAGTGCACATCTGTAAATGGGTGAACTAGTATTGGCGGTGTAGTCAGTGCTGGTTTTAATCAGTTAAAAGCTATCTGGCAGTTTTTCTGTCTACATGAATTTTGTCCCCTTTTCGCATGCCTTATGTAAAGGTTTGGATAAATCACCAAAATCCTTAACAAATTTTCGATAGCAGGAGCAAAGTCCTAAACAGCTTTTTATTTCCTTTGCATTCCGAGGGACTGGCCATTTTTGAACTGCTTCGATTATCTCAGGATCGGTTTGAACTCCCTGCTCTGAAACAACATGTCCAAGAAATTTGACGCTTTTCTTGAACCAAAATGCATTTAGAGAGTTTTAACTCTAAATTGGCGTCTCTTATTCTCTGAAATATACGCTCTAGCCGAAGTAGCTCCTTCAAATTTTGCTCCTGAAACAAGTTCTTCTACAGCTCCTGCAACAATTCTACATCCCTGGTTAGTACATTGGTATTTTACCTCAGGTGTCACGCTTTTGTACAATTGGCTAAGTGCCAAAACTTCTTGAGCCCTCGCATCTAGATCTATCTAAGTCCCCTTAGCCATTTGGCGCAGATAGTCCACCAAAGCCGCTATTGATTATCCTGGGTTCTTTTTCTCATTTCAAGACGAGAAAGCCATCTGTTTTGTTGTCTTGTGCTCCCAAATTGTAACCGTAACCTCTGAGTCAGAAAACCGTCATCCCATTTTTCAGTCTGTTCCAAACTAATGTAAAATGTTCTTGCTGGACCCTTTAATGCTGCCGCTAGCGCTAAAACTTTGTCTGGTTCAAGCCATCTTCCTAGCTCGGTGCACACCTCAAAATGTGAAATATATTCCTCCTAATCATCTACCCCATCATATGGCTCCGGTCTAATAGAGACTGTGTGTGGGTTGTATCGAAATCCGTCAGTATACATCCCCCTTTGTCCTCTTGGTTCAGCCATGTCCTATCCCCTATTTATATATCCC